GATCTAAATAAAATTGAATGATTATTATATTACCGAATGGAGTAATTGGATTAAAATGGAAAATTTGACTGATAATAAGAGCAGTAGTTATGTATTGACAAGAATAGTGATGCTAATACCAATAATAATAAGGAAATAGTAAACGGTAATAAAAAGTGATAATAATAATAACGGCTTGGTTAGTGATTTTAAAATTTATGGCCTATATTCAAATTATGGATATGGAACTTTGACTATTTAAATTTCACCGATCGAATCACTGTAAAATGGACGTTTGAATCAGGTAATAGATCAACTGATGTAACTATAAAATGGATGATCATTATAAAATAAAATAAATTACTAGATTATTCGAATATGACGAAACGTGAATTACCTTTATCATATTATATTAGCGAATGATGTATTATAGGACTAGAATATTTAAATGGTATTGGATTTAATTAATTGATAATTTAAATCATGAGCTATTAAGGTACGTAAAATGGAAAGAAAACCAATTATTTTAATAATACTACATACGTAGGAGATTTTAATAAATTGACAAGTAGCACTTCGTACTTGTTACTTTTAGAAGTTATCACTATTTAATGAATTGACAAACCAAGCATTTGACCGAAATAATAAGTTGATTAAATGTTTTAACCGGTCTGATTGTTCAAATGGATTATTTGAATTACTTTATTATTCGGATTAAATAAAAGTGTATAACAGAGATTGAATTAATGATTAAAGAAAATATGACTTGACTATTTTTAAATCTGGATTAAAGATAGTATAATTAAAATAAGATGGATTGATATCGAAAGGGGTAAGATTAACTGAAGTGATTAATTATAACTAATGCACCATTTGAATTTGCGAAACAGATTGAAAATCGGATAACAATGAATTAAGCTAAGGTGGGTTGATTAACCTTAAAGTATAAGCTAGTTAATTATTAATTCTAGAATGTTCATATTCTAGAAGGTGACTTTGGAGAGGAAGCCGTTAGAGAAGCTTGTTAGGACTATCTGCAAGTTGAGGTAAGTCACATTGCAACCAAAATTATGTTTTTACCTCGTAAATAACTATTTACTTGATTTATGTGATGGTATGAATATTTTGATTGATGAATTACTTGTGAGCAAGTTGTATTTGTTGTGTTTTTGAGATACATCGGATTATGTGTATACGTAAGATATTTTGGGGAAAATATAAAGTTATGGATTTTAATCTTTGTGGTAAAATTTCGTCCAAGAGACATAAATGTGAAATTTTTGGAAAGTCAAGATAAAAGACTGTTTTCATAATTGGGGCACCACGGGAGAAATCCGTAGGTGTCGGGCCACCTTCACGTCCGTTAATGGTGAGGGAGGGTTAGGACTACTACTACTTGAGTTGAGAGGTGTAAAGCAAATTAAATAAATTTTGGAGGGTTCGGTAACCACCCCGAACAATTGGGCATTAGATCCCATTTATTAAGGCAGTAGTAGTAGTACCTATTCTCTTAAGGGTCTTTGAACCTAGAACTTAGGGAGTATATCCCATTTTGAGTAAGGAGACGTTGACGTCAGAACTACTTAGACTTCATACTACTCGGAGGGCTTGGAATCCCTTTAGGGGGTGTGCACACTTAAGGTAGAAGTCTAGATTCTAATAGAGGAGATGAGGTACCGAGAGTAGATCGGAGTGACCGTACAAAACAACGGATCACTGGGCTCAAGAATCGAGATAACGCTTGAGCACCGCCCTTCTAACTAAATAATTAGGAAAATTGGCTATAAAGCTATTTTGAGGAAAAATAAAATATTTTGGTACTTGGAGAATTATTCTTTGAAATACTTACGAGAATTTTTGAAGAAAATCTTTTGGAGATATTATTACTCTTTTTGAAATTATTGGAAACTCATTTTTGTATATACTATATACAAATACTTATTTTTCAACAAAACTATTATTTTACGGGGTTGGGTGGGACTTACTTAGCTCTAAAGCTAATTTTTGTGTTATTTGTTTCTTTTATTTTCTTATGTTACAGATGATGTGGTTTATGAAGACTGATGCACTGAGAGCGCTCCTAGAAGATTTTTAGAGTAGTCTCATTTAGAATGAACCTTGTTAGATTTCATGATTTCAAATGTTGGATTTAATAATTACTCTAGATACATTTACGGTGGATAGCCTTAGCATCCAGTCGGTTTAGGGCTGGATGTGGCGGTAACACGCCCCTTTTCCCTATTATTGTTTAATTCCGCTGCAAACAATTCAATGTTTTGAATAATTAATAAAAGTTTATTATTTCTTAAGTATTATTTTGGGAGGGAAATTTGGGGGTGTTACAAGTTTAAAAGCTTTTGTCAACCACGATCAATTTATTTTCCTTGCCTCTAAGAAGATCTCATTTTCTTCAGTGAAAGCCACTGGTAGGATGTGAAGACTTAAGATATTAACGCTTTGTAGTTTATTTCTCTAATTATAAATTTGAAAAAGGCAAAACTAAGACATGTTTTTGTCATATAATAAATATATAGATATATGAATATATATATCAATAACAAATTGGTCTGAAGCAGCCCACTAATTTTCATATGAATATATAAATATGTTTTTTTAACAGTGAACATGCTTACTAGTAGGGATTCTACAAGCAGCTATACTGACTGCCATTGACTGCCATTGCTCCACAGGTACAATAGCAATCTGACCAAACATATCAGGAAGAATTAATTTTTCAGAATACTTTGCAACTTTCCTGAAATTGTTAGAGTTCCTTCACAATAATACCCAGCTACATAGAGTCCCAACAGTTAAAAATATACTCCTTAAAGCACTATAGAACATAAAAGTTCCCAACATAAATCCAGACTACAACAAATCTCAGACAGTTCTAAATCAACAATAATATCCTCTTTAAAGCAGCCCCATTGAAGAAAAAACTAAAATATACAATGAAGAAAAAATTTCAACATATATTGAAACTAAGAAAGAAAAAATATAAAATAACTGTCAGTCAACAATATAAATTAAAACAGTCAACAACCCACTGATTTTTTCAGTGTGGTGGTCCTCTAATATATACATTAAACCATAAATGACTCATAAATGCTCAACCCACCCACAATATCTATCTACTCATTGCCATTACTCTTATAACAGTTGGTAATAATCATTTATGTATCTACACAATTCACACATGAGTAAAATGCCTATTTCACACAATAGTTCACTTAACTCCATTTTTATCAATACTTTACCAAATCATTTTCCGTTTCATTCTTTGGAAAATAGATCAATATTCCATCAATAATTTATCATCATAATCTATCAAAAACATGATTTAGGCATTTAGGTAATCTCATGCTTAACCTATATATATATATATATATATATATATATATATATATATATATAGTACTCTTCCGGTTAGATATACCTAACCGGAGCCCCGTCCGGCCTCCTCCATTTGGGGGCCTTCCCGGTGGTATTGTTTGCTCAAATTTTTTGTGTAGGTTCCTCATCAAGGCTAGTTCATCCATACCACATTTCAGCCAAGAATTCAATCGAGAAGGTTGTCAAATGATTTTTGCAAGTTAACTGGTCCGGAAAATACATATTCCGGACCAGTTAACTTGCAAAAATCATTTGACGACCTTCCCGATTGAATTTTTAGCTGAAATTTGGTATGGATGAACTAGACTTGATGAGGAACCTACACAAAACATTTGAGCAAAAAAATCCACCGGGAAGGCCCCCAACTGGAGGAGGCCGGACAGGGGGAGTGGTCTGGCCTGGCCGGACCTGAACATTCGTGTCTATATATATAGATACATATATATATATATATAATATACCCTTTGTATATAAATTATGAGGTAGATTTTGACGAAAATGAGGAGTTTGACATTCTAAAGTGGTGGAAGTCAAAAGAAAGAATGTTCCCGATTTTGGCACGGATGGCTAAGCAAGCGCTATCAATGCCGGTTTCAACAGTTGCCGTGGAACAAGAATTTAGTTTGACCGACAACGTTCTAACGGCATCTAGAACGAGTTTGAGCGCTGAGTCTCTTGAGACGCTTATATGCTACCACGATTGGTTGAAGGCCATACGTAGATGTCAAGAAATTAGCATCACCCCCTCCCAAAACTTTATGGATGAATCAACAACCGAGGGTGGCTCCTATGCCGGAGATTCCGATTGATTAGTATTTTAAAATTTATTATAGAATGTATTTCATGTTTTAATTTTTCCCTCAATTCTCTATTGTAATTTGTAGAGTTGTAGTTCATATTTCAAATAAATATACATTCTTTTTTTTTATATGTAGCACTTCTCAAATTAATTAATTAATTAGTTGGTTACAAACTTACAACTTACAACTTAGAATTTATTGTATTAGTATTTTATGAAAAATGTATTTCATATTTAAGTTGTAAAACAAAGAAAAAAAATTGCCTAGGCCCGACCCGACCCGGCGGGTGACCCGGCCCGAACCGAAACCGGGTGAAGGACGGGCCGGTTCCAGGCCCCCATTCCAGGACCGGAGGCCCGGCCCAAGTCCAGGTCTAGGAGCGGCATAGACGGCCTCGAGATCCGCAAAAAAGTGCCAAGATCTCTGACCGTTGAATTGTCGATCGGACGACCGGGAAGAAGCAAGACACTCTACCTTACTCTAAAGTAAGGTAGAGACTCCGGATCCATATTAGAATGGACAAGCAGATAGTTCCAAACCAGTTGTGGCCCAAAACGAGTAGTCCAAGAAGTGTGTGGCATATGGCAAAAAAAAGTATTTGTATTTTATATTTGTAGTCCAATTTTTATAAAGTATATAAAATTAAATATTTTTTATTATCTTTCTAATGATACCAGTATTGTACATGAAAAAATTGAAAAAGACCTATATTCTCTAAATATCTATTTTTACACGTTTTTAATTTTAATAAAAAGTATTTGTATCAAATGAAAGATCATAAAACGTGAAAATTTTGATATATTTTTTCAAAAAATTAGAAATTAAATGAAAAAATATATAAATTGCAAAGTTAAAAGGCATTACTAGGCATATGGGGCATATGGCAATGTCCTAGGGGTGGTGGGAACATCCCCTCTTTTGAGAGTGAACAAATTTGCTCTCCAACCGATAGGTATACTATGGGGCACATGGCAATGTCCTAGGGGTGGTGGGAACATCCCCTCTTTTGAGAGTGAACAAATTTGCTCTCCAACCGATAGGTATACTATGAGTCTGTAATACAAATCTATGTTACTCTTTCCAAAAAAACACAAGTTCTGATCTACACACAGTAATACCATGTTAAATATTTAAACTAATAATACAAATTTAAGAACACTTTTATAGTGTGAACATGCTATTTTTTTTTACTGTGAATTGCCTTTTCACGGACGAAAATGTCTTCAAAAAAGTATGTACAACAAGCAGGCCTGCTAATGTCAATGACAATGAGTCACACACTCACACCCCCTTTCTCAACCATGTTTTGTTCAAGAAGCAGCACAAATGAAGAGACGTCTTCTTCTTTCAGCCCCCTCTTGAACCCAAAGATAGCTATTACCTCTCCCATTCTACCTTTCAAGACTTAAACAATTTTAAAAAAAACACAAACCAACATCTATCAAATTAGATGAGTTTAGACCAGATCAAATCAAAAAATTACAATACAAATAAAAACATTCCTAATACAAAGGTAGTACGAAATTCTAATTTCTACATTCTAGTATTTCTAAATATCATTCATTATTGTGCAAGGATTAAAGTGTTCAAGAAAAGAACGAGTTTTTTTTGGTAAAGTACCATGAAGGAGTTTGTAGAACTCAAAGCAACACCCAATAGTAGGAATCCAGGTACTAGTGATTTCATCCCAACCCAACAAATATACCCCTGCCCAGAACAAATTAAATAAATGGGCAACAAAATAGCATTGACGTGAAAATAGATAATGAGGCGTGTAAAAGGAAGAGTCATGACAGTCAGTTAGGAAACTCCTTTCTCTCCTTCTATAATTAGACAGTCAGTTAGGAAACCCTAATTAGACACTCTTAGGCCCCTTTTTAGGACCTCCATAAAACACGAAAGCATCGTCTCCTGAACAAGAAAGCTTCGTGATGTCATACAATTCTGAATCGGTAACAATGTACCTAGGATTTCTCGGAATTCTTGTATTCCCTTGGGCATCCAGGTAGCATATATTTCTAATATACGCTACCTTTTTGAATCCGTCACTTGCCGAGAAGTACCCGCTGCCCATTTGTGTTGTGGTAGGTTGATTTGAGGTGGCAGCCTCCACAATCTCTCCTCCCCACTGTACATCATTTGCTCCTACGGACAGTCTTTTGAAAAGACTAGTTGGCCAGTATCCAATTTCTTCCTTGTCTAAGTAGATATACCATCTCCCTAGTACCTTGTTCTGCAAAAATAATCCTCACCTTAAAGTTGTAAATTAAATAATTCTAAAAGAGTGTACTATTAGTTTTATGTACCAGTTTGATCTCCATAGTCCTCTCATACTGTGGACCATCCGGTTGGGAGACTGGGACCAACAAATAGCTGCTGCCAAGTTTGCGTCCTGTTATATTCTTTTCAAAAGTATCTGGTATACAATCATCATAACCAAGCTTCCCCACATAATTGTTGTTCTATAAATGGAAAACAAGTTAGATTGGTGTACATTGATTTTGTTAGATAAAGTTACACAACAATTCAATCTACTTATCTAAATGGAAATTAACAACTTTATTGTAAATTAGTTATGAATAACTTACGGTGAAGAAGATAAAGAACCTTGTGTCCGGGTGCGCTTTTGGGTCCACCTGTAAGTTTAATTAATTAGTATGTGATTACTTTAAAAAGTTAATCATTAAAGTGCAAATTTTGTGTTAAAACACTTACCAACCAGCCAGCCTCGAGAGTCTCAACCGGCTCTGCAAGGTCGTTTTTTATCCACATCTGTGAGATGCTGAGATCATCTCGTTCCACCTTAGGGTTCCATATGTTGAATGTCGCTTTGATTCCAATCTTATCAGGCTCGTCGCCTCTCTCATGTACCACTGCATACTGCAAAAATAAGATTTCAGCATGTAGCATTCTTTCCCTGGGTGATTGTTTAGCTTCTGGCAATAGTTTGTTCCTTTTTTTTTTGTTTCCACTTTTGCAATGAGTTATGTTTTGGATGATCAATAATTTGGACAGATTCAAGAACATTGGAGTTGACAGATTTTTATTGCATAGAGATTATCTTTCAGTGACTTATATCTTTAGAAGTCTTGCACTTGTTCCTTGAAATGCATCAATCAAGTGGGTCTCATGTTCTCCAATTCAGGGATAACCCAGCATTTAGATGAGCTTCTCTGATTATATATATTGAAAGATTCACATGATAGCCTAACATTTATATTCCCCAGCTTTGTTGCAAGTATTATTTTTTATTAGTTTTGTATGATGTTTGATGTTCTTCTAACTTCCAAGTCTTCACAGAAGATAAACATGCTTAAAGGAAAATTATAGGCCACCATCTATTGAAAAAAGAATACTGGGAATGACTGGTTGAGTATTTTGGATCTCCAGATTTTCAGGTATATACTGAGTGCTCCAGTTGAATCTGGTTGATTTGTATGTTTTTATATTTCAAGTTCAGGTGTAAGTTTGTATGTTTCAACTAACCTTGTAAGTGTTTGATAAAATTGTTTGTATATTTCAAGTTCAAGTTTTAGTTCGACTGTTCAAGTTCAACTGTAAGTTTGAACCAGGTTGTATATTAATGCTTGACACTTTAATACTTAAACTGAAAATTTCAAGTTCAACAACAAGTTTGAACCGGGTTGTTTCAATTTTAGATTTTCAAGTTTAAATTTAAACTTCTGGTAGTTTACAATTTGGAATTACTTAATGTTTTAGTTTACTCTATCAGCTAAATAAAACTCAGAAAACTTAAACTTTTACTGAATTTAAACTTTAAACATTTAATTTTGAAGTTTAAGTTTTAACTGTCAGCTACTTTAACCTCTTGAAACTGAATCTTACTAGTTTAATTTTTTAGCTTTATATTTTCTAGTTTAAACTCTGGAGACTGAAGTTTAAACTTTCAGCTAGTTTAACTTTGAACTTAAACCCAAACTTTAGATTTAAGTGTAGACCAGGTAGTTTCTTCTTTGAACTTTCAACTTTTACTTTGCACTTTCAGCCAATTTAAACCCAGAAACTGAAACTAAAGTTTTCAGTAATTTAAAAAATTAAAGTTATGCTTAATTAACCTTTAAAGTTAAACTATCTGCAAACTATCTGGCTAGGAGTTATGGTTAGATTAGAATCCACTTATTGCTATGCAGTGCAATAGTGCATATATAATTATAAATATGTATTCTGTTTTATGCTAAACGATTCACCTAGACATTTTCTTTGCAGGAGTCAAGGCTGGAATGTTTGTTAGGGATGCAAAGTTGTCATACTTTCTTGTGACTTTCAAGCATATAAGGTGGTATTTTTGGATTGGTTGAGTAGAAATGAATGTTCTTTGCTCATTGTTTCTCTTGTGCTTTCACAACTTTCCGTATGTGGAAGCTCTAACATGGACTCTAATATTTATAGGTATCTGATATATTTCATGACATCTTGCATAAACACTTCACAAATCTCCAGGTATGCCATGTTTATCATCCTTTGAGAGAACATTATACTATCCATGTATATCTTATAAATTGGCTAATGTTACTGAATGTAGGATATCCGTTGCGGTGAAACATTTTTAAATGCCACTGACTCAGCTTTGGAGGACATTCAAGCTAATGTGAGTTTGATTAGAAAGGAAATTGTTGAGAAAACAGGTTGCGCTTAAGTGTCGGGTATATATTGCTGAAAATATGCTTATGGCCCGTCTTACTACAAGAACTGCTAAACCTGACGGGCAATGCTGTATCCCCTTCCTGAGAAGGTAAACATTTTATGTCATATATCTATGTCCTATGAGAATGAGAGATGATAAACATATTTGAAAACCCATATGGATATCAAACTTAACCATCTTGTGATATTACAAGTCTTTTCTCCTTTTCTTTTCAGGTTGAAAAGCATCTGTGTGACCTAGAAAAAATCCTCCCTGGAATTGGTGATGTCTTCAAAGACAAACTGAGAAACAGACAAGCTACAACTTCTGGACAGCTGTGGATGATATCCAAGGTCTGATTTTGTAATGATAAATGCTGCTCTCTTACATTATAGGTGTATATGGAGCAAAGCAAAAGGGGAAGAGATATAGAAGATGAATTGGTGTTAAAGTAGCTATAGTTTCAAATAATTGAATGAGATAGACTCATTATGTTTATATTAGTGTGAGATAGCAACCTATGAAATTACTATGTTGAATGTTTGAATACTCCCATTTATATATAAGCTCAAAATTTGTGTCGAATGAAATTTATTGTATCAGTTTTACCAAATAACAAATGCGTTATACTGTGTGTATATGAGTATAAGTATCAATATGATTTTAAATGTATTATTAGTAATAAATAACGTCTATATCCGCATTATTTAAGCATCAAGATGTGGTTGCCTCTATAACATTGACAACATAAACATGCAATGTCATTAGATCATAGTTGCTTCTAATTATGTTTTGAGACGATATAATTAAGTTGCCTCAAATTAAGGATGTTCTATTAACTGGAATTGGACTCGCAGCTTTTGGCTATGGCCTAAAAAGTGGATTGGAGTTATTTGGTGTTGATTCACCACAAGCTGGAAATGTACAAGCTGGAAATGTAGTTCAACTGGTCATGGTCTTGGGTCTAACAGTTGGATGGATCTCAACATACATCTTCAGGGTTACAAACAAGGAAATGACCTACGCTCAACAATCAAGACAGTATGAGAGCGAAGTCATGGAAAAACGACTAGAAAGCTTAACGGAAGCCGAGCTACAAGCATTACTTGAACAAGTGGAGGAAGAGAAGCTAGCTAAGGGTAAGCAAGTATAGTCTAGGCCAGCGTTCCCGGTTTGCTTTATCTTCAGATCATTCGAAGTGCAAACTGTATGCGTACGCTAGCTTCTGCAAAGGATGCCAAAAGAGAGTAAAAAAGGCCTTGTGGAGAGTTGCTGATATATGGTGTGTATGGGAAGTGGAAAGTTTATTCTTCTTCAGTTGAGACTTGAGAGGCTGTATGTTGTACAAACTTATTACTAGTGAATTACAGGTTGTGCTAATGTTTGGAAATAAAACACATATCTGTAGTATTGTGAAAATAATAAAGAAAATGGTCATAAAAAAAAACTAACACATATTTATAACCAACAAGTAAATTCCCATACCTTGTGTTTACAAGGAGGTTCAGGTATGTGTTCCTGCTCCTCTTCTTTTTTTGAGGATTGAGACCTAAGAAATGAGTTAACACCAAAGTAAGTTGAAATATGAAAAGTATACCCATTACCTAATGTTGTTAGGAAACCAATTGGAAAATAGAATAAATAATATGTAGAATTATGTAGTACTAAACTAAGAGAATTAACTTACATAGTTGCAGCTAGGATAGTTGTTCAATCTTCTGAACATTTCATCCAAAATATAAACAAGAACTCGAATCAGTGAAAAGAAAAAAATAGTTCTGGACATTGTGAGAATGGAGGAAGTAGAAAAACAAATATTTGGAATCAAATAAACAAGGAGATATTTCCCTGAACAGATATCTTTTTTATTGTTTCAAGTAGAAGAGATGTCGTGGGAATTTGTGTACATGGTTAACAATGTTTACGGCCCATCCATCAAAATGACTTGACTTGAAAACATAGTTAACCCTTACAAAGTGTACACAAAGGTTGATTCATTTTTTGGTTGCTTCTTATCAGCAAAAGAAGAATGTGTGAGATCTCTCATAGCAACTAGTGTAACCAGTACGGCTGATCATATTATGCAAAAGATAACAAAAATGGTGAAACTTGCAGTACCAGGGCGGATCCAGGAAAAATTGTTATTGGGGGCATCACCTTATATACATAAAAAACTTGTTATAGTAACCCGTAACAAACGTTAATGCTTAATGTGTACTGGAATTAAATAGATCAATTAAAAATTGAGCACTTTTCTTTATGTTTGTGTGCAACACTTTTATAAAAATGTTACTATTTTGAATTTTTATATTCACAAAACTTCTTTTACGTAATACTTTTACACCCTCATATTCCTTTCTAGGATGTTCTATACCTATTAAAATTGTCTCATACCATATATGACACCATTTGTATAATTTTAGACAATTCATACTTTATTTTTACTTTATCTATTCAAAATTATACACATAATTTTTTGTTTCCTAATAACCGCGTTTTCAAACATAAATCAAACTTATTAGCAGAGTGAAAGTAGTATTTATAACTTGAAACAAAATTGAATTTGGAAAAGAAACTCAAATAAAATGGGAATTCTTCCTTGAATGAAGAGCCCAATCCACTCCTTACATATCTAAAATTAAATTAACTAACCACTACCTAAAAATAAGTAAATATACAACTTATCATACTGATCATTTATGTCTATAAAATTTGTAACAGAGAAAAAATATACTACGAATTATATCTATTTATTTGTATAGAGAAAGTAAACTAATCATTGACATTTTCTTTGTGGAGATAAAAGTTAATGGAGCATTTATACTTCCTCCGTTCTTTTTTAGTTGCAACGGTCAACATTTCACACTTGACAACGCACGTCTTTGACTATAATTATATCTTAATCTCTATTAGTAAAAAATATTTAAAAATTAGATTTTGAAAATTTGTAATGAGATGAATTGAACAATACTTTTTTAAAAAAATAATTTTCATAAAATAATAATATAAAATGTAGTCAAAGTAGAACATGTGAATAGTGTAAAATTTAACATGTTGCGATTAAAAAGAGACGGATGATAGTATTTTTCATTGGGGGCAAGTAGCTTTCTTTATGTTTTTAAAATGGAGTAAAAGGTCAGTTTGGTCCTCGAAGTTGCAAAAAAGGCGTCAAATAAGTCCTTATATAGAAGATTCTGTCCGGACGTGCCATTTGAGGTGGCTCCCGGTGGAATTTTGTGATAATTTTTTTTTAGCATCTTATTCATTAAGTCTAGTTTACTCATACCAAATTTCAACTAAAAATTCAATCGGGAAGACATTCAAATGAATTCTTGAAGATAACAGCGCTTTTAACGGCACAGTTATCTTCAAGAATTCATTTGAATGTCTTCCCCATTGAATTTTTATCTGAAATTTGGTATGAGTAAACTAGACTTAATGAATAAGATGCTCAAAAAATTTCATCAAAAAATTCCACCGGGAGCCACCTCAAATGGCACGTCCGGACAGAATTTTCTATATAAGGACTTATTTGACCCTTTTTTTGCAACTTCGAGAACCAAACTGACCCTTATCCCTTTTTAAAATAGAACTCCCACACTAAAACTAAAGAAAAATACTCCCTCCGGTTCTAAATAAACTTCTCACTTTCCTTTTTGGGACGGTCCAAAATAAACTTCACACTTTCTTATTTCCTTATTTGGCAAAGATATCTATATCAAAACAGTGCTAAACAGTGTCTCAACAGTGCCAAACAGTGTCTCAATAGTGCCAAACAGTGCGAAACAGTGTCTCAACAGTGTGCTCTACAGTAAAGTCAACTTTATTTCCTTAATAACTGTGAAGTCAAACACTGAAGTTTAAAAAGAACCGGAGGGAGTATGATTTTATTGGGGGGTGCCCCATTAAACCAAACGTACGTCCGCCCCATTTTCTTTGACGTCACTTAAGAATTTGAGACCAAAATTTCAAACACATTTCTTTAGGCTGAAATCCCAAATGCAATCAACAAACTGTGCACAATCACTATACAGGGAGATTTGTTTTAATAAGTTACGTAACAACTACGAGTATTTAGCATCAAGTACTAAGCTCTCAATTCCAGCATAGCTGCTCAACACCCACCTTTGTTGCTCAAATTTGGTAGAAGAAATTTAAAGTTCCAAACCCAGAAAGTTTAAGGGCTCCCAAAAAGCAGGGGCCCTGTGAAAATCTAAATAACCATTGTTAGATGCTCCATAATTGCTAAACCAAACTAACCCATCAGTCACATTTCAACAGTAAACAACACAAACAGAAAAACACTACTGCAATAGAAAGTAAGAAGCCTTGGAAGAAGAACAAGTAGGAAAAATAAGTTTTACCTCTATTCGGTACGACTTGCAAGGGAAGAAAGCTGGGGGGAAGAGACAGCTGCTGAAGCTGGTGGGCTGGTTTATGTTGTCCTTGGGAGATGGGGGAAGAGGAGTGATCAGCTAGCCCGGGCTCCATTAATTCTTGCGTGAGTGGCTTTTTGTTAAGGCTGTGTGAGCAGATTGCACCAGAGTTACAGTTTGCCGAAATTGGATCAACAAAGAACAGAAGAAGATATGAATCCTGATACCGTTGCTATTTCGTGCGAAAAAAAAAAAACAAAAAGTGGAATTGGGTCTTCAGTTTGCAATTTGCTATACGTTGTCAACGTTGACCGCAAAAGTTAAAATAGGACCTTTGTTTTGAGGGGAAGGTAGAGTATTTGGGTAATTTAATATGGAGTTGGAGTTGAGGTACACACTTTTTGGTGTACACACTTTTACATATGTCTGTATAGGATTTTTTTGTCTGTATACAAATAGAAAAAATCTTACACAGACATGTATAAAAATGTATACGTAAAAAAAGTGTTTACCTTTAGAATTTTTCTTTTATACGTACCAGTACAGCGAATAGAGGTTGTTTAAGATGTAATATGGTTGGAATTAGGTAGGCCTAGGACTTAGAAGTTAGAACTGTAAAACCGGAAATCTGAACCGAACCGAATTTTCCGGTTCGGTTCCTATAATCTTGGACTTCAGTTTTTTCGGTTCGGTTCCTATTGTATAGAATCGGTTCGGTTCCAATTCGGTTCCGGTTCCTAGACATGAACCGAAATTTTTATACATTGCATGCGTAATCTTCATTTGAGGTGCTTCTAGGGCCGTCTTTAGTGGGGAGGCACCTAGGCATATGCCTAGGGCACCACTTTTCAAAAATAAAACTACTATTATTATTATGTAATTCATACTTTGTATATAGTACTAGTATTTGGGAATACTAATAAAAGATAAAACAATTGCAAAACTTAATAAAAAGCATATCTATGTTTCATGTGGCCTAGACGGCTAGACTAGTGTAGCTCATTATGAATTATTGCCTTATTTGTACTTAAAGATTTCAGAAATTACCAAACTCATAAATTAAACTAATTAAAAAATTGGAACATAAGACAAATGTGAAGGCCTCAAGGAAGAGAATTTTTGGAAGGAAAATGTGAAGGTTTGTTATACTCGTATCTTGCTATATCTATATGGTTGCTTCTTATGTAGAAGAGGACTGTGGAATTCTCAAGTAATTAATATAACCGATAACATTTCTTGGTTGCTCCAGGTACTTTTTTGCCGAAATTGGAGCAACAAAGAAGCTCAGAGGAAAGATTGATATTGATATTGTTGCTATATCAGTTTGCATGGTCTTCGCTTTTCAGATTTCTAGATGTGTTATTGTTGTGTTTAATAGGACATTTGTTTTGAAGGGAAGTATGGACTACTATACTAGGGTAATTTAAAACATAGCACCGAATAGAGATTGTTTAAGTTGTTTAAGTTGTTAAGATGTCCTCTCTTCTTTCCAATATAAAGAGCACATTTGCGTTTTCAAATATTTTTAGGAGGAACACTGTTTGACAGTGTTTGGACATTGTTTGGTATTGTTTGGACACTGTTTGACACTATTTTGCTTGCCAAAAAGGGAAATGTGACTTTTATATTAGAACGGTCCAAAAAGGAACATGTGTCTTAAATTGGGACGGAGGGAGTAATATGGTTATAAGGTATTCAAATGACAATTATAACAATAATAGTAATAATAATATTCATATTAATAATGATAATAAGTCTGACTATATATCTCGGGTATAATAATAATTCAAAAATTCTCAACCTTTTTCTTGTAGTGGTGCGTCACAAATTTATTGGGATGCTATCATTTTCGTCCAGAAATAAATAAACAATTATCTTCAAGTATCTTGTGGTCTGATAACATAAATAAACAATTATCTTCAAGTACCATAGGGGCGTTTGGTAGAATGTAAAGTAATTACTTTGCATGCAAAGTGTAAGGATGTAAAATGTTTACACCGTTTGGTTTGATTATTTAATGTAAATTGTAGGACACTTTTTTTAAACATTTCGCATTGTACCATGTAAAGTATTTTACGTGGTGGGTGGTAAAATACTTTGCATGCCTTTTATGAAGCACTACAATGACTTTGCGTGCAATTTAATTAAAAATAAATAACACATCTAGTCAAACAATGTAATTTATTTTACACGCAAAATGATTGATTCCCTATACTTTGCATGCAATCACTTCGCGTGTAAAGATTAATGTGCAAACTACCAAACTAGCCGCTAAGTTGGTTTCTTTCAATACCTTTAACTCAATCTGGTAAAATATTTGAAGAGTCGGGGGTTGTAACTTGTAAAGTTTTGTAAAGTTACCACTAGATGCATCAAATAATATTGGTATTGTTCTATTAATTTCGTTCTTGGACTTTCAATTTTTTCTACTATATATGTAATATTTTCATAAATTTTTATATACTTTAATTAGATAGATATGTGTTTGTCCCCCTTAACTTTTAGTTTTCAAAATTAATATATAGCCTTACATTACGTAATACTTAATTAAAGATTTAAAAGAAGAAACATCTACAAATAATTGACATAAAATAAACAAATAACATTTGAACAACTCATTGTTTGACTTAGGATACCTATTATATAAAAGTTCACAGTTTTGAAATGTTTAATTATCTTTAATTTATTAGATAATTAGTACTCGATTTGTAAAATATCAAACAATATTAAATACGAGACACATTAGTAAACAATTTTTAGATCATGTGAAGTGAATCTAAAATTACACAATTTATTTACTTCTTTTTTTCTAAAAACAATTTAGTGCATAGATAATAAAGTTTAACTTATGTTAGCATTAATACAAATTTAATATGCACCATATATAAGAATTAGCTATATAATATTATTCTATATAAAAATAATAATCACATACATACTATTGTAATATTAGCAAAACCTCTCATGACTCACGAACACCCTTCTTGATAAACAAAAATTGCAATTCAAAAATCAATTCCTTGTACCAATAAGATTCATGTGGTTAAACATGATAGGAGTTATTTAAAAAGTATTGATGGTTGTGCACCTTTTAAACTCTTTACCTTCAAAGAATTTGATAAAATGTTACATATCATTTAATGTAGGGAAAACTGTCAAATAGGTCCTCGAACTTTCATTAAAAAGTCAATTAAGTCCTTCTATAGGAGACTTTGTCCGGTCGTCGCGATTTGGGGCGGTTCCCGGTGGAATTTTTTGATGAAATTTTTTGAGCATCTTATTCATCAAGTCTAGTTTACTCATACCAAATTTAAGCTAAAAATTTAATCGGGAGCGCATTCAAATTAATTAAAGAACGCAAAAATGCGCAGTTATCTTCAAGAATTAATTTGAATGTGTTCCCGATTGAATTTTTAGCTGAAATTTAGTATGAGTAAACTAGACTTGGTGAATAAGATGCTCAAAAAAATTCATCAAAAAAATCCACCGGGAACTGCCCCAAATCGCGACGGCCGGACAAAACCTGCTATAGAAGGACTTAATTGACCTTTTTAAGAAAGTTCTAGGACCTATTTGACAGTTTTCCCTTTAATGTATCAATACTTTAATCTAACACACTTACTGTTATAAAATCAAAGTTATTTTTTCATTGTCTAAACTTAGAATGTAATATATTGAAATGTCATCATGTATGTACTTGTGAATTTTTTTGAATAAAAAGTAGCCGCAAAGCCCCTACACTATTGAAAAAATCGCTCCACTACACAAGCGGAAAAAAAAAAAATCGCCTCACTACACTAGCGAAAAAGATTCACCTAAAAAAGTTGCGCTCCCTTAACTCAAAATTCTGGATCCGTCCCCTGCTCGCAATAGATTCATCTGAGCTCCTCGTAGATTCAAAAGATAGCGGTTGCGACGATGTGGAAGGAATAAACATGGTCATAGTCGTGCTTCATCGAAGCTTGCATCTTAATCAAGAGAATAATAACACCTGGTTCACAACGTGGCTGTGATGTGCGACCACGTGCTTGCAGCTATGGAGGGCTACTACGGTAGAAGAGCTGCACGATGGGGTTGTGCAATAAGAGAGTAGCCGATTGTTGCAAGGATGGAGATGGAGTATGGAGAGAAATCTATGGTTGTAAGTTGTAACCATGAAGTAAAGAGAGATGCCCATGGTCAAGTTAATCAAGGACCATTCACTCCATTTTTTAAAATTCGGACTCTTTTTTTGTCCTAAGTTAAAACCTGATTTTATTTTTGTCTCTTGAAAATACAATAGCATTATTTTTTGTCATTATTTGTATTAAAATCTCATAATTAATTTTAATAAATTTGAAACTCTTTCACGCTAAAAAATCACGACGATTTTGTTAATTTTTACTTCAATTGTATACAATATTGTATAATTCTATTACGATTTTGTACAATTATATAAATCAAGGATTTGACAAGTGAAAAAATCAGTTTCTTAGTGCAGAATCTTATTATTTTTGGATTTTACAATTGAAACTATACTCATACCTTTTGAATTAACCTTCTACATAATAGTGATAGTGATGCAAGGACAATTTTTGAACTGAAACTCGTCATACATACATTTTGTTATGAGTAGATTGATTAATTAATATTATAGTGAAGGTCGTTAACGACCTTACTTGAAGTTGAAGCTTGTTAAATCAAAACCTGCCAGAATTGTATGGTCTTAAGTCTGGAATAATTGTATAGTTATCTAGCTAGAGCAGTTACAATCCTACCTAAACTCGGGTCTGAATCGAGCTTCAAAAATGGGTCATACACATAGTGTCTATTTACATTATAGCAAAATGTATGTTATCAATGAATTCCTTCTCAATTGATAACATAACTAATCCATTCAACCTTTTTTAGACATGGTTGATGATGTACTCTCTGAAGTGGCTCTTTTATTCGAAATCAAGTACTACGTACTTATTAATATTTCCGGCCTGACTTTGAGTTAAGGGAAAACTGTCAAATAGGTCCTCGAATTTTTATAAAAAGGTCAATTAAGTCTTTCTATAGGAGGTTCTGTCCGTCCGTCGCAATTTGGGGCAGTTCCCGGTGGAATTTTTTGATGAATTTTTTTGAGCATCTTATTCACCAAGTTTAGTTTACTCATACCAAATTTCAGCTAAAAATTCAATCGAGAACACATTCAAATTAATTCTTGAAGATAACTGCGCATTTTTGCGTTCTCAAATTAATTTGAATGTACTCCCGATTAAATTTTTAGCTGAAATTTGGTATGAGTAAACTAGACTTGATGAATAAGATGCTCAAAAAAATTCATAAAAAAATTCCACCGGGAACCGCCCCAAATCGCGACGACCGGACAGAGTCTCCTATAGAAGGACTTAATTGACTTTTTTATGAAAGTTCGAGGACCTATTTGACAATTTTTCCTTGAGTTAATGATTCAATATGTGATTTTCTTTTCCTCTTTTGAAATCGAGACAAAGAATTGGGAGGTATGACACTAAAAATAAATAAATACACAATATACTAGTATATTAGTAATTCTCTCTATAAAATTGAAAGTACTTAACTTAATTAATTGTGAATTGAGAATTCCATAATTGCAATATTGATAACACTAAAAAATAAAAAACATGCAAGAATCAACTAGTATTTACAAATTAGCCCATTTGGCATTCACACATGACAAATTACTTATACATCACATTAGCCCATTTAGCAAATCAATATAAAGTTAGAAAATTTCTAAAAATAGAAACAAATAACTAGATAAGCAAATAAAAAACATAGACCAATAGAATTAACTATAGAACTTGGAGCCTAGAAGCCTAGAAATAGAAGTGGAATTAGTTTTTGTTTCTACTGCCCAATGGGGAAATAAAAATAACTAGAAAATACATATGTATAATACTAATATATATAAATTTTGGGCCCCTAATTTTTACAATTTTTTGGGGCCTTGAGGCCCAAGCCTCTCCAGCCTGAGCTAGGGTGGTGAAACTGCTGTTGGGAAGGTGGGTGAAAAAGTTGGTGCGCTTGGTATGTACATAGTATTTCTTAGCGTAGGCCGCAGGATCAGGCACCCCCATCTTATTAGGCCTTGTGCGTTCTGCTTCCAAATTTTTCTTAGTCATCCTTGGCCTACTGCGGGTGCCTGGAGGTGCCCACCCCAAGCACCATGGCTCCGGTTCGATCGGCGATTTTGCCTGATTCAGCAAGCGCATCATCAAACAAAATGTCAACACGAAAGATAGAAGAAGAAGAAGAAATTGGCAGGTGATTAAGAAAGTGGCTCACCGGCACGAAGTCCAACACATGTCCATATCCATTTTGCAATATGAATTCATCAGGATACAAATAAATACAGTAATACAGAGCAACTAAATCCAATCAATTTGAGGAAGATGAAGATAAATGGTGATTACGATAAAAGTTTTAACTGTGTCTTCGGGTGGATCCGGAAACTGATTTGCCAGAGCTCGGCCCAGCTGCTTCAAATCAGGATCCACTTCCTCAGGGGAGGATCTATGTTAGGGCTATGGTGGGTTGAAGCCCAGGGCAAAGTCTCTCCAGCCTTGAGGCCCAAGTCTCTCCAGCCTTACATAAGACACGGCTCTGAGCTAGGGTGGTGAAACTGCTGTTGGGAAGGTGGGTGAAAAAGTTGGTGCGCTTGGTATGTACATAGTATTTCTTAGCGTAGGCCGACACCCCCATCTTATTAGGCCTTGTGCGTTCTGCTTCCAAATTTTTCTTAGTCATCCTTGGCCTACTGCGGGTGCCTGGAGGTGCCCACCCCAAGCACCATGGCTAGGTTCGATCGGCGATTTTGCCTGATTCAGCAAGCGCATCATCAAACAAAATGTCAACACGAAAGATAGAAGAAGAAGAAGAAGAAGAAATTGGCAGGTGATTAAGAAAGTGGCTCACCGGCACGAAGTCCAACACATGTCCATATCCATTTTGCAATATGAATTCATCAGGATACAAATAAATACAGTAATACAGAGCAACTAAATCCAATCAATTTGAGGAAGATGAAGATAAATGGTGATTACGATAAAAGTTTTAACTGTGTCTTCGGGTGGATCCGGAAACTGATTTGCCAGAGCTCGGCCCAGCTGCTTCAAATCAGGATCCACTTCCTCAGGGGAGGATCTATGTTAGGGCTATGGTGGGCTGAAGCCCAGGGCAAAGTCTCTCCAGCCTTGAGGCCCAAGTCTCTCCAGCCTTACATAAGACACGGCTCTGAGCTAGGGTGGTGAAACTGCTGTTGGGAAGGTGGGTGAAAAAGTTGGTGCGCTTGGTATGTACATAGTATTTCTTAGCGTAGGCCGGCACCCCCATCTTATTAGGCCTTGTGCGTTCTGCTTCCAAATTTTTCTTAGTCATCCTTGGCCTACTGCGGGTGCCTGGAGGTGCCCACCCCAAGCACCATGGCTCCGATTCGATCGGCGATTTTGCCTGATTCAGCAAGCGCATCATCAAACAAAATGTCAACACGAAAGATAGAAGAAGAAGAAGAAATTGGCAGGTGATTAAGAAAGTGGCTCACCGGCACGAAGTCCAACACATGTCCATATCCATTTTGCAATATGAATTCATCAGGATACAAATAAATACAGTAATACAGAGCAACTAAATCCAATCAATTTGAGGAAGATGAAGATAAATGGTGATTACGATAAAAGTTTTAACTGTGTCTTCGGGTGGATCCGGAAACTGATTTGCCAGAGCTCGGCCCAGCTGCTTCAAATCAGGATCCACTTCCTCAGGGGAGGATCTATGTTAGGGCTATGGTGGGCTGAAGCCCAGGGCAAAGTCTCTCCAGCCTTGAGGCCCAAGTCTCTCCAGCCTTACATAAGACACGGCTCTGAGCTAGGGTGGTGAAACTGTTGTTGGGAAGGTGGGTGAAAAAGTTGGTGCGCTTGGTATGTACATAGTATTTCTTAGCGTAGGCCGGCACCCCCATCTTATTAGGCCTTGTGCGTTCTGCTTCCAAATTTTTCTTAGTCATCCTTGGCCTACTGCGGGTGCCTGGAGGTGCCCACCCCAAGCACCATGGCTCCGGTTCGATCGGCGATTTTGCCTGATTCAGCAAGCGCATCATCAAACAAAATGTCAACACGAAAGATAGAAGAAGAAGAAGAAATTGGCAGGTGATTAAGAAAGTGGCTCACCGGCACGAAGTCCAACACATGTCCATATCCATTTTGCAATATGAATTCATCAGGATACAAATAAATACAGTAATACAGAGCAACTAAATCCAATCAATTTGAGGAAGATGAAGATAAATGGTGATTACGATAAAAGTTTTAACTGTGTCTTCGGGTGGATCCGGAAACTGATTTGCCAGAGCTCGGCCCAGCTGCTTCAAATCAGGATCCACTTCCTCAAGGGAGGATCTATGTTAGGGCTATGGTGGGCTGAAGCCCAGGGCAAAGTCTCTCCAGCCTTGAGGCCCAAGTCTCTCCAGCCTTACATAAGACACGGCTCTGAGCTAGGGTGGTGAAACTGCTGTTGGGAAGGTGGGTGAAAAAGTTGGTGCGCTTGGTATGTACATAGTATTTCTTAGCGTAGGCCGGCACCCCCATCTTATTAGGCCTTGTGCGTTCTGCTTCCAAATTTTTCTTAGTCATCCTTGGCCTACTGCGGGTGCCTGGAGGTGCCCACCCCAAGCACCATGGCTCCGGTTCGATCGGCGATTTTGTCTGATTCAGCAAGCGCATCATCAAACAAAATGTCAACACGAAAGATGAAGAAGAAAGTGGCTCACCGGCACGAAGTCCAACACATGTCCATATCCATTCTGCAATATGAATTCATCAGCATACAAATAAATACAGTAATACAGAGCAATCAATTTGAGGAAGATGAAGATAAATGGTGATTACGATAAAAGTTTTAACAGTGTCTTCGGGTGGATCCGGAAACTGATCTGCCAGAGCTCGGCCCAGCTGCTTCAAATCAGGATCCACTTCCTTCCATTTATCACCTTGTGCGCTTCTTCGTTCAACATGAGCCCAGGTACTTGTGATCTCATCCCAAGCCAAGGTATACCATTTGCCTGAGCCGGTCACTTCGATTCTTCTCTTCCCTTCCATTGAAGGACCAAAGCTTGCAGACACACGGCAGGTGCGTGGGAGAGAAGTCAGAGGATATTGAAAGAAAAGAGGGTTAGAAGCTGTTGATGGATGCGTTCGGAGCGGATACGCTAATATATAAAGCACCGTTCACATGAAATCCTCTCTTTACCCCGGTGTGGGAAATACTAAGGGGAGGATTTTTAAATCATTTTAACATTATTTTCCTCTACATTATTTTGAAACTTTTTGAACGGTTTTTACTAACTACTATAAATATAAATACCTGAACAACCAGTAATTGTCATCATTTTCATAAACAATTCAAATATTTTATTTCATTTTAACATAACTAAAAGAAATCAAAAAAAAATCAAAAGAAGCATCGTGTCGGATATACTCCCTCCGATTCTAAATAAACTTCATAGTTTGACTTTATGGTGACAAAATATAGTGGGAGACAGAAAGTGAGTGTAAAGTGTTTAATAAAGTAATAAGGGTATAGAGCTAACTTTATGTTAAAAACTTGCTAAAGTAAAAGTGTAAAGTTTATTTTGAATCTATCGAAAGGAAAGTTTATTTAGGACCAGAGATAGTACTAATTTAAAATACACGGTAAAGACTGAATTCTTCTCTCCCACTCGGGTGTGAGAAAGGATAGAAACTAAAAAAATTAAACATAAGATGCAGTGCGACCGTGCAAGAAAAGGTTCTAAGTCAAGGTTGACTTCGTAAACATGATAGGCATGGCTCCAACTCAATCCTAGAGTTTTCAGACCATTTGTCCATTTGTTTCTGGCTGCCAATACCAAGTAAGATTTTTACAATTTTAAATATTCTTTTTTACCAACTAATACCAAGTAAGGTTATTGTGCCATTGTGTGCGTGATATATCTCTTCTCTTATCTGTGCGATTGAGCATTTCGGTTGATATGTTAAAATGTTGCCCTTATGCAAATTTATATGTATTTAACTATCTTAATTTTTAAATATCATGAAGGTGTTAATGAGAATTTTCTTCACAATTTTTCACAAAAAGTATGTTCACCCTTTTTTTACTTTTATTGGATAATAACTAGGTATGAGACCCGTGTTGCGCGTGAAGAAAATGTTCATTAAAGTGGCCTTAGGTAAGATGTGATGGTCATGTTATCAATTGTATAAAGTGGCGCACAAACTTCATTAAATTAGACATTACAATCAACAAAATGGAAAGTGAGTGCATTGATAGAAGTGTTAGCTACTACTCTGTATGTTCCAAGAGCATTATTGCATGGGATTTAGATCAAAATACATATCATTTTACAAAGGGAGAAAGACCAAATATGACACTGAATGTGTACGTGAATCTCAATTTGGACATAACGTTATTTTTGGATCAAACGAAACATTCAGAAGTATTTTTCATTTCAATTAGAGAAATTTGTTGATTTAGTCCCGTAACTTATAGCTATACCCGATATCGGTCATGTAACTTTAGTAACTTGCAGATTACATCCCGTAACTAATAAGTTGGTGCAATTTTGGTCCTTCTCTGCCATAACTTACTAATTTCACCGGAAAAAGACACATCACCTGCCAGATGGTATATTATTTGGTACTCATTTGCTGACTCAACATTGGCCCTTAGCTGGAGTTAAAAAATGATTGTATGAAAGCTCTTCATTGAGTGTGCGCACAACCATACCAAGCCTATTATCGGATATGCAAAAGGGGGAAAAAGCACATAACCCTATCCAGAGATTTCTCCTGAACTAAGTCGAGAGAGTGAGTTGTTCTTCAAATTTGCTAGTAATGGCTCTCGATCAGACAATAGTTTATGGAGTGTGATTGTGGTAAAAAGGTTTCTCTTCTAACTTCTTAGACTGATAACAATCCCAAAAGGAAGTTTCGTGTGTGCGCTAGAAGCAAGAAGTTCAGCTTTTTAATTTAGTGTTTGCTTCTATTTTTACTAAATAAACTAGAAATTTAAGAATAGCATTCGTATAATAAATGTGTTTGAAAATTAAAATGTATTTAAATTTTAAGCTAGGTTCTGCTAATAAAAGTAATATCTTCTATTTGTTGGGGGCATTTGATCATGTATTTTTGTGTTCAAAGCAGTAAAAAGTAAGCTAAGCTTCATATTATTTTGATGCAGACAGAAGGTTGCAGATTTTTTGAATAGGCGGACCCAACTATGTGTCATCGTTCAACAATGATAATTCCGGGATTGCTTAGAAGACTCAATTCAAAAGAGAAAGAGGTTGCAGATTTTTTGAATGGGCGGACCCACCTATGGGCCAATGTTGAGTCACAAATGAGTTCTAAATAATATACCAATCTAGCAGGTGATGTGTCTTTTTCCGACGAAATTAGTAAGTTCCGGCAGAGAAGGACCAAATTTGCACCAACTTATTAGTTACAGGATGCAATTTGCAAGTTACTAAAGTTACAGGACCGATATCGGGTATAGCTATAAGTTACAGGACTAAATCAACAAATTTCCCTTTCAATTAAGTAACTCCTTGTTCAACGGTGTCACTTAAAAATGAGAATCGTTTGTTTAATTTTTATTGTTTCTTTTTTCTTTTATTTCTTCAACAGACGTGTGTGTTGATGACTTCCAATTCACTCCAAATCATTTACCCAAAATTTATCCCTCAGTCACTTCGCCTCTGTAATTCAACTATTGAAAAGAAAAAAAGAATGACCGTCCGAAGTAAAGTTTAAGGAGAAGGAAATGTCAGGCCTGCTTATTTAATCTTAAAAATGCAAAGCAACCGATAAAATTCAGAGAAAGCTAAAGAAAATAGGTCTGCATTGAACAAAAAATCTTACTGTTTTTTCGATAAATGGTTGGTTTAAGCGTTGGAATTCAATTTTATTACAAATCGTGTGAAAAATCTAAGCAATTGCACAAAAAATGCTTTGGCAAGCTGGGAGGCTAAAATGAGTTTTGGTCTTATGCCACCAAGTTTCAAACCTGTGCGGTTTTGGCAAACCTGTGACTTCAAACCTGTGACTTCTCCCTTTATGCATGTCCTCTGAAACCTTCAAGCTCTGTTTTGAACTTGAATTGCGATGGAATCTCAAAGAAGAAAATTGAAAGATGATGGAAGCCGCTGCTAGATCGATTGATGCAAAACTACGAAACTTCTAAGTTCTAACCTAATATCCATTATCGCAATTGCTTGCTTTTTTGGGAGGGGGATATGTTGTTGGGTTAAAAGGGGGGATTGGGAGGCGTGGAAATGGATCTGGAGTGGATAGCGAGAGAGAGAAACATAGATGGATCACTGTTTTCATTTCAACACTGTTACTCAGTGTCCATCACTGTTTATTTGATCTCTTGAAAACGTTAGTGGCCAATTTGAACTTTTCCTAAAATCATAGTGTCCAAAAAAGTCATAGTGACAAAAAATAGTCTGTCACGCTTAGGGGTGGACTCGGGCCGGTTCGGGCCTGGGCCTGGGCCCGGCCGGGCCTCAGTTCATGAAAGGGGAGGCCCGGAACCGGCCCGGGTAACCCCCGGGTCCGGTTCGGGCCGGGCCGGGCTTCGGTTCAACTTAATTTTTTTTTGGCTTTTCCTAATTAACCCCCAACACCCTCCCCCCTCACCCCCAAACCACCCCAAACCACCTCAAATGGCCCAAAATACTCAGCCCAACCCAAAATCTTAAAAAAAATTTAAAAAAAAAAAAGAAAAGATAAATAAATAGGTCCGGACCGAGCCGGCCGGTTCACCTTTTCAGAAGCCCGAGCCCGGCCCGGAACCCCAGCGGGTCGAGCCTACCCGGACCGGTCCCAAGTCCCTGGTCGGGCCAGCGGTTCGGGCCGGTTAAAACAGTGACCGGGCCGGGCCGCCTGGCCCGAGTCCACCCCTAGTCACGCTCCTCTTGTGAAGTGGCCACTTTATTTTTCCTATTTCAGGATGTTGGGGTAATTGGCCTAGTACAGAGTCCGCCCAATACCCACGTGAAGAAGTGGATCAAAAACCCATCAAGGCCTAAAAGCCACTCGTCCCTGCCCAGGCTCGAGCTCGGCTCGAGTTTGACTGAACTCGATTCGAGCGGCTCACGAGCGACTCGGCTCATTTGCACCCCTAAACCAAAACTTTGTTTTTCTATAATTAACACCTATAATAATCATTCAAGAGTAGGCTTGGACCTGGTTCAGGCCCGCTACTCTGCGGGCCCGAGACCGGCCCGGTCCTTTGGCCCGATACCGGGCTTGGACCCGAACCGGTGGGTAAAGCGGGGGCGAGCTCGGGTATGTGAATTGGTAACCTGGCCCGGTTCGGGCCAAAATGTTTTTTTTTTTTTTTTTTTTGGTTTTTTCAGTTTTTTTTCTTCCCCCGGGTTGGGCTGGGTGTTTTTTTTTGGGGGGGGGGGGGGGTTGGGGGTGTCAGGGGGTAGTTAGGAAAGCAAAAAAAAATTATAAATCGGCCCGAGGCCCGGCCCGAACCGGACCCGATGGAAACCCGGACCGGTCCCAGGCCTTCCCCCAACCATAAAAAGCCCGGCCGGGCCTAGGCCCGACCCAAACCCGACACGGACCCGACCCGGCTCGAGGCCATGCCTATTCAAGAGTGTCTAAAAATGGTTTTCACGTTTGAAATCAGCCTGAGAATTTAAAAAAAAAAAAAAACTTATTGAGAGGACAGAGAAGCTTGATTAATTATTTTATTGCAATTAAAGCTTCATCAATAATGTTTCTGTACACCAATAAATGAAAACTACGTACAATGAACAATTAATGAGCACACATTCCGAATGAGTAAGCTTTGATTGTAGTGAATGTACTGTGGTAGAAGATTGCCATGAGGCATGAGCTTTATACAGAGTGTCCATAGTTGATTAAACGAACATATTAGGGATGAGGAGTGAGAATAAGTTTGAAGTTTCTTGTCATCTTAGCCTGCATTAAGCCCCTCGAGCTCACAGTTCTTCAGAAAAATTCTCTGTGAGTACACCAATAGGCTTGAACAAATAGGCCATGCTGTAGTGGTTAAACTTTTCCAGTTTAATAAATGGAGTCTACTACGTATTATTTTGGTAAATAAATGAAAAATAAAACACCCTCACCCTTAAACTTATCTTCCTGGATTCTGCTTTTGGTCCAGAGTGAT